CCAGTCGGTACTTGCGTCGACACGAAGTAGAATAGACCCAGGTACCGATCGTCGCTCGGGTCCTTGTCATTGTCTCCGCTCTTCATGTTTGCAGCTCCGCCACCGCGACCGCCACGGCCTCCACGGCCTCTTCCTCTCCCTCCTCCTGCTCCTCTACCCTCCTGGCCTTGAGCAGGGGTCCAACCATCGGGGAGTTTGTAGCAGTCGCGCCACATGTGTCCGCTCTTGTGGCAATAGTGGCATTCGCCGTAGAATCGTCCGCGACCGCGACCGTAGCTCTTGTCGTCGCTTCCGTATCCGCCATTTCCACGTCCTCCACTGAAGTTGCTGCCACCAAACCTTCCTCCCCCTCGTCCTCTGCCTCTTCCTCGGCCATATCCACGGCCGACACTCGCTGCCCCAGCGCCATCCGCACTCGCCAACTCACAGCGGCGGAAATCCTCTTCAAGGATAGCTCGCTTCACGTCTTCAAGCGAGAGGCGGGGCAAGTCGCGATTCAGGTTGATGATGAGCAAGGACCATGACTCAGGGAGTAGGGCCAGCAACTTGGTCTTCTTTTGGAGCTCACTATAGTTCAGATCAGCTCCCTCTAGCCGCGTCAACAAGTCAAAGAATTTCTGCACCCCTTCATCAACCGCTTCATCCTCTTCAATTCGTAACGTCGCGGTTTGCTGTTCCAACACCACTGCTACCGCCGCTGTTGCAGGAGCGTGTACACCCTTGAGAGCAGCCCATGCCTTTGGTCCCTTCTCTGGTTCACGCTGGAATGGCTTGATGTGACGGATTTGACTGCTCCCCAACGCTTGCCCTAGTAGGAGGTAGCCTTGTGCGCTCTTCCGCACCCACGGGCTCTTCTCCGGGTCGTTCTCGGGACGCTTCTCCGTTCCTTCCATCACCTCCAGCAGGTCATAGTGGTCAAATACGTTCTCCATTCTGAAGGACCACTCAGCAAAGTTGTCACCATTGAACTTGTCAAGGCCAAACACTCTAGGCTCATCCCTAGATGGGCCAATACTTGGTTGCACGGGCGCCATGGCTGAGTCACGGGGTTGGCCTTGAGCTTGGGCTTCTCCACTGCCACCAGCACCTCTGCCACCCCTTTCCTCAGGTCCAGCCATTGTCGAAACTGCTCCAAGGGGCTCTGATACCACTTGTTATAGTCACAGTAGGCTTCAATGTGCCTAAAACGAAAGATAGAGTGCACAGTCGGATTTCTGCACAGCGGCTTTAAACGTTCATAGCGTTCTAGTCACAACTTCAAATGACCTGATTCAATTAGGCTCTGAAGCATCTTAACGTCACCTACAATAGGCAATTTAGATCGCACGATTTCACCAAGTATTGACGACACAGCGTCGGTTTGAACGAACGGCACTATGGCAGCCACTATAGTTTTAGAACACAAGATAGGAAGAGTTAGGAAGAGTTACGAGTTGGGAATGACTCCCAGCTCCTACAAACCCCAAGAGCCGAGGTACAGTGATGTGGAACAGTGCCGCACTGTCCCCAACCAAGAAGGGTCTCGAAACTACCCTCCACAAGGTTCTACACCAACAGAAAAGTTACACTACACATTGTAATGAAACTATCTTCAACATCTTGAGGTGTACCCTTTTAGCGAGCTCCGAAATCACTTGAGGCTTGACACCAAGGCTCTAGTTCTTCATCACAAACTCATCCTTGAGTTCTTGATGGGTCTGCTGCACACACCTGCGACACGCCGAACGTTCAACACACGACAAAATCGAAACCGCGCGAGACACACAAGCGACAAAATAGAAACCGCGCGGGACACACAGAATGACCGCGTAACACGCGACTAGCGATAACTCGCTATTGGCTCGACACACACACACTCGACATCATGACCCATCATACACAGACTATTATAAGCATGAAATATATACTGTCTCATGCCCTCATACCATTCCATGCACTCACGCATGCACGCACACGGACAACAAGCCGAGTGCAAACCGTAGGGTTGCACCAACAGTGCGGAGCCTGGGGGTGCTGAGCCTGGGGTTGCTGAGTTTGAGGGTGCGGAGCCTGGGGGTGCTGAGCCGGAGAGTGTGGAGCCTGAGCGTGCTGAGCCTGGAGGTACTTTGTCCTCTGGAGGTCCTTCGAGTGTCTTGTCCCGGCGGGAGCCACTCTCTCCACCCCAGCTGCGCGAGTGGTTTGCTCGGCGCTGGAGCTGTGCTGCTGGAGCTAGAGGTCCTGCTGCTGCTAGAGCTGCTGGAGGTACTGGAGCCGCTGGTCCCGGAGGTGCTCGTACTGGAGGTACTGGAGCTGCTGGGGCTGGTGGTGCTGCAGGAGTTGGAGCTGGAGGCGCTGGAGCTGTTCCTCCTGGAGGTGCTGCTGGTGCTGGAGCTAGTGGTGCTGCAGGAGTTGGAGCTGGGGGCGCTGGAGCTCTTCCTGCTGGAGGTGCTGCTGGTGCTGGAGCTAGTGGTGCTGCAGGAGTTGGAGCTGGAGGCGTTGGAGCTGTTCCTGATGGAGGTGCTGCTGGTGCTGGAGCTAGTGGTGCTGTAGGAGTTGGAGCTGGAGGCGCTGGAGCTGTTCCTGCTGGAGGTGCTGCTGGTGCTGGAGCTAGTGGTGCTGCAGGAGTTGGAGCTGGAGGCGCTGGAGCTGTTCCTGCTAGTGGTGCTGCTGGTGCTGGAGCTCGTGGTGCTGCAGGAGTTGGAGCTGGAGTCCCTGGAGCTGGGGGTGGTGGAGCTGTCTCTGCTGGTTCTGGTGGTGCTGCACGGCCGCGGCCGTACTTCGTTCCACTCCTTCAGCAGGTTCTTGGTCTCCTGCCTTCTACTAGTCCTACTCCTCCCTTATCGTGTCCACCGCCTGTCCAGTCGCAGTCGCAGTTACAGCCAGCCTCCCCACTGCCTGGTCCTTCTCCTTACACTGAGCCGACCGGCAGTCTTGCGGAGCGTCGTGAGCCTGCGCCTCGTCCTGCGTCGCCTGTTCGCGCGCGTCACACTGGTAGTCGTGTTCCGCGTCCGCGTCCTCCTCCTGTCCCCGGCACGCACCTGATGGCACTTCGTCCTTCCTCTGTTCCACTGCGTGTCCCTCTGCCATCCCCTCTTGGGGCGAACATCGTCAGTGGCATGTGGATCTTCAGGGTGAAGCGGCCGCCGGGTTCTTCGCCTGTCTTCAAGGCGCGTTACGTTGCACGAGGCTTCACTCAGCGACAGAAAGTTGACTTCTTCCAGATCTTCTCCCCAACCCCGAAGATGACCACTCTTCGGGTTCTGCTGCATGTTGCCGCTCAGCGTGACTACGAGCTTCACTCTCTGGACTTCAGCACTGCTTTCCTACAGGGCAGCCTGCACGAGGAGATCTGGCTGCGCCGCCCACCCGGCTTCACTGGGTCTTTTCCTCCTGGTACCCAGTGGAGCCTCCGACGGCCAGTCTACGGTCTCCGCCAGGCGCCCCGTCAGTGGCACGACACACTGAGGACGACCCCTGCGGCTCTTGGCTTTGCTCCCTCTACTGCTGACCCGTCGCTGTTTCTACGCACCGACACTTCGTTGCCGCCGTTCTACATCCTACAGCTCTGCCTTCGGATGAGTCCGTAGAGCCGAGTGGCCCGTATCCAGAGCTTGTGGGCTGCCTCATGTACCTGATGACCTGCACTCGACCTGACCTTGCTTACCCTCTTAGCATCCTGGCGCGCTACGTTGCGCCCGGGAGACACCGACCAGAGCACAGGAAGGCCGCTAAAAGGGTGATGCGCTACTTGTGCAGGTGGATGCTGCTGTTGACATGATCGAGCCTCTTCTGACCCCCATCGATGTTTGACGTGAGTAGTTTGAAGAACCCAGAATTGATCTCGTCACGCATACACCCGGTCTCAAAACGTGATTGTGCTTTGAGTTGTTTTAAAACGTGATTGAGTTGCTTTGAGTAGTTTGAATGAACGGAGCCATGAAGGGCGTGCAGCAAGTGTGCTTCCTGTGTGGCGAGCAACCCAATGCTCATGCATCATGCCTCTTCCCCCCCCCCCCCCCCCCCCCCCATGCTCCCTTTCTTTTACCAACAGGAGTGGCGGAATATCCACCGCCGCAAGCAGCTGAGAGAGCTCGCTTTGATGAACGGAACCATGAAGGACGTGCAGCAGCAGCTGCTGTGCTTTAAGTGCACGCGGCGATTGTCTCAACGCTTATTGACCCCTCCGTTCCTCTCTTCCCTTCTGTTTTCTCGTGCGAGCAGGAGTGGCGCAATATTCACCGGCGCAAGCAGCTGAGGGAGCTGGCTTTGATGAACGGAACCATGAAGGACGTGCAGCAGGTGTGCTTCCTGTGCGGGGAGCCGGGCCACAAGGACTTCCAATGCCCCAAGGAGAAGCTTCAGACCTTCAATGCAAAGGTCAGTGTTACCCTATGGTAACCAGGTGGTGACCAGAGAGAGGTATTGCGGTAACCCGAATGGTTGGGACCACGAGCCGGGTCACAAGGTCTTCCAGTGCCCCAAAGAGAAGCTGCAGACCTTCAACGCTAAGGTATGTCGCATTCAGAGCTGGTAACCAAAGCTGGTAACCAAAGCTGGTGCCAAAGCTGGTAACCAGGTGTAGGGCAGGTGGTAGCAGCAGCAGGTGTGCTTCCTGTGCAGCGAGCCCGGTCACAAGGACTTCCAGTGCCCCAAGGAGAAGCTGCAGACTTTCAATGCGAAGGTCAGTGTTAACCAGGTGGTAACCCGGTGGTGACCAGAGAGAGGACAGGTGATAGGACCCTACACCAGCAGGGGGGGTGTGCTTTCTGTGCGGGGAGCCGGGTCACAAGGACTTCCAGTGCCCCAAGGAGAAACTGCAGACTTTCAATGCGAAGGTCAGAGGGTAACCACATGGTAACCAGGTGAAGGTCCCCAAACGCACCTGCGATTGTCTCTGTCATCGCCCGTGCCTGTGCGTTCGCCCCTGTGCTGTCCTGCAAACTACTTGTGCCATCTGCGATTTCGTAGACACTTGTAGTGAGAATTCTCAAATGCACCTGTGTCTGCCCCTGTTATTGCCCATGTGTGGTGGTGATTGCAGGTTACGTGTGCCATCTGCGGAGATGGAGGCCATCCGACCGTTGATTGCCCCAGGAGGAGGGCTGGAGGGCCTCCGGTATGTGCCTGCCCTGCCCTCCCTTAGTCTCCCCACCTTTCTCTCCCGCTCATGTTTCTCTGTCTGCCTAACCTCTCTTCCTCCCTCCTCCATCTGCGGAGATGGAGGCCATCCGACCGTTGATTGCCCCAGGAGGAGGGCCTCCGGTATGTGCCTACCCCTCTTTTCCTCCTCTCTGATTCTCTTCCACTTCTGCCGGGCTTGCTCCCCTTTCACCTCGTTTTCTTCTTCTACCTTCCAACCGCTCTCTTCCTCCTCCTATCTTCCCACCCCTTTCTTCCCTTGGTTTCTCGTGTTGGCTGCTTATAGCACCTTTTGCGCTTGTTAGTCTTGTTCGCTGCTAAGTTACTTTTACTCTCTCTCTCCCCACAGGGCAAGGGCATGGACCAGGAGTATCAGTCCTTCCTCAACGAGATCAAAACACTGCTGGGGTCTGGCTCTCCTCCCAACAATTTCATATCTCACCCTTCCCCCGCCTTCTCTTCCCGTGCTCCCTCCCTTCCTTGTGTCGCCACAGGGCAAGGGCATGGACCAGGAGTATCAGTCCTTCCTCAACGAGATTAACACTGGCACGAGACGGCTCTGCATCTCCTTGCAGCTACTTACCTCGTCCCTTCCCCTCCCCTCTGTTCCCCTTTCACACTCTCTCCCCCTCTCCTCCCCTGTTGTGCCTCAAGCAATAACACCTTCAAAATATCTGAAGAACGGATAGATAGGATTGGTTGACATGTTGATCGTTCAACGGATGTGATACAAAAATGTGACTGTACATGATAAGTTGTTCCTATGTTTGGGGGTTACGGTTTCTGAATGGGGGGAGCAAAATCATACGAGAAGGGTGAGTAGAAAGCAATGTGTATATTACTTGGTATCCGAGTTACCCATGATCAGTTGTTGCCCGCACATTTGGTCTGCCCAATCCTGAACGCCTGCCCATTTACAATCTGGGACGACTAGTTGCCCCCAATTTACAGCCCCCCCCCCTTCCCCCCCCCCCCCGAGCAAGTGGACCGCAGAGGGCAGTTTGTCGAACTGACAACGTGGGGATCGAGACAGTCCCAGTTGCCCAGGGGCACCCACAAACCGTGCTATAAGTGTTGATAAAATAAGGCAGGATCTTTCACAGTGGAATTCTTTGTAATGGAAACCTTGATCATAGTCAATGTAAATGTCAAATCATGTTTATATATATTGTTTCGATACATTTGAAGGATATAATGCATCTCACTCAGGCTGTAGTGATTTGCATCTTAGGGGGTACGTTTGAAGCTCTCGACATTCTTCTTGTACCCCCCTCACCTTCCCTAGTCCATCATTCTCTCATACCTAACCTGGTTACTAAGCTTCTAAATTCTTAGATGGTATCAACTAGGTCGTTCCTAGGTCCTAGCCTCATGTCACCCTGTGACACCCCGTTACGCCCCGTGTCGCCCTAGATCGCTTAAAATCTAAGGCATGAATGGTGAACTAGGTCAATGGAGGGGTACAAGAGAAGTGTCAAGATAAGTGTTATGCCCCCCAAGGGGCAACTCACTACAGGCTAAACTAAGGAATCTGACACACCCCCATAGCCTGAGTGAGATGCATCGAAACAACCAAGACGAGCGAATGGTCACAAGACCAGTCAAGAGAAGAAGCAAAGCAAAACTCACAGTGGATCTCAAGGACACCACACACTACGAGCACAAGCAAGCGGCCACAAGCCCAGTTTACATGCAGTGTTATAAATTCACAAGCAGTATTGTGATCACAACCTAGCAAGAGCAAGCATGCATGTATATAAATATATATATATATCAAAATATAAGATAACACATGCAACCAGCAGGTGAGGCAAAGTAGGCACAAGGCCTAAAGAAGTGCAGAAACGCTGATGATCACCAGGCACAAGAGCCTTGGTGAAGACATCAGCAATGTTGGCCCGAGAGGCCACGTAAGCAAGGCGCACCTGACCACGCTGCTACAGCTCCTGAGCAAGAAAGTAATGAAGAGCAATGTGCTTCGTTCTGTGCTCCAGTCTCTACTCCTGACACAAGGCAATCATGGCCTTGTTGTTGACGTACAGAACTGGAGGAGAACGCTCACCCAAGTCGGTCAGCAGGTAGGTCATCCAGCATAACTCCTGTGCAGCCATGGCCCCAGCATAGATCTCGGCCTCACAGCTGGAACCAAGCACGGAAGATGAACAAGTGGACCTCCACGAGACAGAAGCAGAGCCGAGACTGAAAGAGTAACCCTGTGACGATCTCTGAGTCGCCTGGTCGTCAGCCCAAGAAGCGTCGGGGTGTCCTGTGAGTACCATTGAACCCCGTCCTCCAAGCACGAGCCCCATGCACAATGTACTGCACAAATAACGTAGTACTCTCTGCGCAGCTGTCCAGTGCTCCTTCCTGTGTCGCCCGGGCACGACGAAGCAAGCAAGGATGCTGAGAGGGTACGCGAGTTCAGGTCGTGTGCATGTCATCAGGTACATGAGGCAGCCCACAAGCTCTGGATACAGCCCACTCGGCTCTACAGACTCGTCTAAAGGTGGAGCTGAAAGCGAGTGGCCTGTAGGCAGAGGAGTGCGTTATAGCGAGGAGAACTGAAAGCCGAAGCGCTGAAGGACCTGGTGCACCATGTGTGACTAAGTCAAATTGATGGAGCGTAGTGCTCTGTCCCAGATGATCCGCAAGCCAAGATACCGTATTCTCCTGGACAAAACACCCGCCGAAATTGTACACCTCCTGAGTAGCTTAAGCAGGGTGGGTGCTATAGGCGACCTCGTTTGTACTATACCCCCCCTTTTGGGTGATTTTACCCCCCTTTTTGGGTGATTTTACCCCCCTTTTCTTACGAATTCCTTAATATAGTTGTTAATGAGTAGGTGCAAGTATGCGAGAATATCGCAAAAATCTAACAAGATTTCCCCCCTCCCACTATTTCGCTGTCGCCACACGCTGGTGAATCGTCCGCTGCAACTGGCACAGAGGAGCCACATGGCATTTTCGAGGGGGTGATGACGTTCGCGCCAAAACTCACATTCGCGCCTCAACCTGTGATGTTAAAAGGACCATGGAAACACTCAAGTTGTCTAATCCCCCCCATCAGGTGAAATGGATGGCAAGCAAGCACCACCCACATCTCGTGCGTCTGTTCGGCTATTGCATCGACTTTGACCCATCCACACGAACCATGGAGCAGCTTCTTGTCTATGAGCTCATGCCCAACGGTGACCTTGCCAGCTGGATCGGCACTGGTGTCTCTTAGTCACTTTTGTGAGAGTACGCCGACGTTCGACATATTTCTCATTTCCATATTTTTACTCCATCTTATTCTCCTTATTTTCCTCTTTCATTTGCACTTTATTTCACCTCAATCGGACTACTATTCTATTTTCTAGAGCTTTTCGATTATTTCACTTATTTGGTATTTTCGGCACCGACATTTACATTATACGGCACTGACAGCACCGACAGTGGTGTACAAGGCGTAATCTCGCCATAATCCGAAGTGCCAATGGGCTTGCGTGCTTATGCGCACTTGTGTGATTCTATTCTGGAAGAGCGCGTTCCCGAAGGTTCGGATTATCTGTTGTTTCTATATATTTCCGAGTATAAATACGCCTTGTACTCACCTTTAGTGCAACATTCTCGAGTGGAAATTCGATCCTGTGACACTTGGTACTCAGAGCCGTTTTCACTCGCGGAGTTTCAGCTAAGCAGCGTGCTCAAGAAATTCCTGCTTCGAAAAACCGCCGGGGGCGACGAATTCGGCGCCGACGCTGGTAAGCACCAGAGTTAGCGTTTTTTTAATAACCCCCCTCGCGCGTTTTTTGAACAGGATCGTGAGTTCGATTGTTGGCGAAAACTTTTGCGATATAGCGACGACAATCGCAAATTGTCGGGACCTATATCGAGCGGTGCAGAAGTAGCGAGACCGACGCGCGACGGATCGAACGACTTCGGGTGAAAGCGCGCGTCATGGCGAAAATTGCGACAGAAGCAGAATCGATCGTGACTTCGCAGCAGTCGCGAAATTTTCCCCAAGGCCCAAGAAATTCGTGCCCCCAACACCTTTGATGGGGAAATCGACGCTAGGCGCTGGCTTTTGGCGATCGAAATTTATTTCGCCGCCATTGGATGGACAGCACCAGCACTCGACAGAAACAGAATTATGTTTGCAGCAACACTACTGCGCGGACCAGCAATTGAATGGATAAGCGGAAGCGGTTTATTAAACCAAGGAAAAGCGACGTGGCAGCAGTTCCGTGAAGGATTACTACAACGTTTTGAGCCGATTAATGCAGCGTTAATCGCCCGCGACAAAATGCATCGTCATCGACAAATCGGGAGCGTCACAAACTACACACAACAAATGGAGGAATTGTTCAACCGCATCCCCGACGTCACGGAAGGCGAAAAAATTATAGCATTCATCGCGGGGCTGAAAAAAGAAACACGACAATATGTTGCGGCCGCAAATTGAAGAAGCTACAACGACGTCGTTTCGGCAACAGAACGTTTCGACGTAACCACGATCGGAACACGACGACTTCATGGACGAGCTAGACGACATGGAGGACGCTTGGCCACCCCCACGTGCGCCGACCCGATGGAACTCGATCGAATCGACGCGAAGGAAAGACCAAAGAAGAACAAATCTAAGTGTTCTTTCTGCGGCAAGCCAGGACATCGACTCATCGATTGTAACGAAATGAAAACTGCACGTTCAGCGCTTAGGGACCGCAGCAGTGGAGCAGATTCAATGCGAATATTGGAGGATCGTGGAGTGAATTCTTCAACCCACGAACGGACTCTACTAGGGAAAATCGCCGAGGGAAACAAAATCTCCGCGACACACGACCCTGCTGGACCCGGACAACTCCAAAAAGGCCCTGTAAAAAGTAAGCACCCCTTAAAAGTATCATACAAGGATGCTTTACTTGGGAAAAATTCCCTTGGGTCTACGGCCTTTGTGAAATCACGAGAGAGGCTCCAGAAGAAAAAAAAATGTACCGGTACGACAACTACAGCAGCTGCGCATGGGGAACCAACAACGGAGCGTGGAAGATCGACCTTCCAACGATGACATCATCCTCTCTCTGAAAAACCAGCCCATGTCGACCAACCGGTCCCCACGGAAGAAGTCGGTGGCGCTGAAGCAGCTCAAGAGGGAGCTGGAGGTCAACATGAAGCTGCGACGACCTCAAACCTCCTCTACAGATGCATCTGCAACATCTGAAACATCTACGATATCTACCCCATCTATGAATTCTACTACGAGCTCGAGAACCACATCGTCGACGACAACAAAAAATCATGGCAATAGGGAACGGCAGGACCGGCCACCTGCCACCCCAGGAGAAAACACAGAGCTATGGGAAATGCCCTATGATCCAATCAACGAGACGATCAACGGGTACAACGAGCAACGCCAACCACTTTTGCTCGAGGTGATCTGCAATGGACGACGCCTCCAAGCACTCGTGGACAGCGGAGCATCCCATTTAGTATGCGACAAAGCAACCCTCAAACGCATCAATGAGAAGTACACGCCTTCAAACTTCAGAGCTACGATGGTTGACGGAAGCAAATTACAAGTCTACGGCGAAGCAGCGTTACACCTGCAGATGGGTCCTCTTCGCTGGAAACCGACCCTACCCGTCACCAACATCAAAGGGCTAGACCTGATCCTTGGAAGAGACTTTCTGAAGAAGTTCAACCCCGAGAT